AGGCTCAGCCACCCAAGTGCAAGCAGGGTGGTGTGCTCTGAGCTTTTCCTGTCTGCCCAAGGAGCATGCCCACCGCCCACCTGTGCCTAGATTTGGAGGACTGACCATGTGACCAATGCCAGCAGCCATTACAGACAGGTGTTGCCTTGGGGAAGGAATGCAAATGGGAAGGGCAAGGGCATTCCACCCCATGAAGCCTTTCCCCGGGCCCTGGGACTCTACCCACCTCCTGGACCCTGGCCCGAGGCCCGGGTCCACCACAGACCGGCAGCCGGAGGTTGAGGCGCTGAGTGGGTCCTCAGGGGCAGGTGGGCATCGAGGCAGGTCGCAGTAGGGCACCTCAGCACCTGAAGGGCTCCTGAGCTCCTGGGCCAGGGTTGGAGAGAGGAGACAACTCAGCGCCCACGTGGGGTCTCCCCTCCCCCTGCACAGCCCCTCCCAGCGGTGTGGGAGTCTCCAGGCATCTCCTCCGGGGATCTCGCACTTCTCAAGGAGCTGCCCATCAGGCTGGAAGCGCCCCTTGGGACTCAAGCCAAGGGCTGGCTGAGGTACCCGGTGTGTGCATGCACACGTGTTGTACACATACGGGCCTTGGAGCAGGTATGTGTGTGGATAAAGACCTGGTATTGGGGGCACGTGTGTGCACATAGGTGGAGTGAGCTCTTGCGCATGCATGCCTGCGCAGGTCCCGCGGGTACACGGATTCGTATGTTTGCATCAGTGCAAGTTTATGTATATATGCGTGTATGTTGTGCGCCCCAGAACGAGGTGGAAAGAAGGATCCACCAGGGTCTTTTGCAGCCAAAAGACAAGGGTGGGGAGGAAGGATTAGGCTGGCTGAGAGAAGGAAGAGGTCTGAGGGAGGAAGAGGCAGTTTGATGGTAGAGGAGGTGGGAAAACAAGGTCTTGGAGGACAGAAGAGATTTGCCCCACTAAAGGAGAGGCAGGGGCTCCAGGGCTGGAGGGTCAAGGCCCCAGAAAAAGGGCGGGGGCCTGGAGCCAGCTGCCCGCTCCTCTCTCCCTCCACCCTTGGCAAGGCCACACCTGTGAAGGCTGGTCTGGTGCTGGGCTCACCAGGGGAGAACGGTTGCTCACCTCCAGGGCCCCCCCCAATTCCTCCCCACCTCTGGAGAGCAGTAGGTCCCTCCCCTGGTGGTGGGAGACAGCGGCCATGGCACCCTGCGCCCCGCCTCCTCTCGGATTACCTGGGCTGCGGGCTCTGGCGGTGGTGGCGGCTGTCGGCTGTCAGCACCCTCATCC